ATCTACAGCCTTCGAGGGAAGTTTCAAAAATTTTATAGAATGTTACAGAGCTACAATTTTGTAGTGAATATCATAAAGTGGTTATAGTGTGTCATATCCGTATTTTTATAATGGACATCCTCCAAAAAAATTATAGTGTGTCACATCCACAGTTTTACAGCGGATACCCTGACAAAAGTTTATAATATGTGTTACATCTGTATTGTTATAGTGGACATCCTCCAAAAAAATTATAGTGTGTCACATTCACAGTTTTACAGCGGATACCCTGACAAAAGTTTATAATACGTGTCACATCTGTGTTGTTATAGTGGACATCCTCCAAACAATTATCGTGTATGTGTTACAATCACAGTTTTACAACGGATATTCTAACAAAGGTTTATAAAATGTGTCACATTTTTAGTCTTATAGTGAGTATATAAAAAAAATGTTTATAGAAGGTATCACATTCGTCGTGTCTTTTCTGGGTAGAACTGTGGGTGGGCGTATCTCTCTCATATCTAAGTATAAATATATGTTTAATCCCTGTCAAACTCTCGAACGTTTTTCAGAGACTTATACAACTTCGTGTTTTGATACATTTAAAGACCTTTACTGTGAACAAAGACGACTGAATAATACTTGTTTACATTTCTTAACAAATTCTCTGTGCTTTTTGAACTTAGTAGAAAAAAAGTATGAAAAGATTTGTAAACGAAGTGACAAGACCGGAAGTAAACGAAGTGACAAGACCAGAAGTAAACGAAGTGACAAGACCGGAAGTATAAATGACGTAGGAGTTACAAGGAAAGCAAAAATAAACGACATTCTGCATACGAGTAGCCAAGAAAGATTGTTTAATAGTAAGTTTATACACTGAATTACAACATTTCAGTACGTACAAAAAGCATACATGTAAAACAGTTTATACACTGAATTACAACATTTCAGTACGTACAAAAAGCATACATGTAAAACAGTTTATACACTGAATTACAACATTTCAGTACGTACAAAAAGCATACATGTAAAACAATACTTACTCTTTTAATCATTTTCGATATTTGATATGGATATATATATATATATATATATATAAGGCTCAACATAAAGAAAATAACAATAAATTAAAGACAGGAAGTAAACAACAAAGAAATGTAATTCTCGTCCAACCAATAGTTTCATATATAGAACTACATCCAACCAATAGTTTCATATATAGAACTACATCCAATCAATAGTTTCATATATAGAACTATGAAAACATAGTTTGCAAAGCAATAACTTAGGACAAAATCATTTCATAACTCCCGATATTTGAACGTACTTATTATAGAAGTGTCTATTGGTTACACAATAACACAAACTCTTACATAAGCACTAAGGTGTATGTAATATATAGAACTTATATTGTTGAGTGATATCCAATCCAAGAGAAATATTAATGAGAAGTGTTAGTTTGATATTTCGGATTTCGAAAACATTAAAAGATGCGGAAGAAAATCGGACGGGATGGAAGAGTTCAAAGTATAAAATGGCGTGGTGGAAAAAGCGTCCTTTCTAAATTAGTAATTCTTTAAGCTCTTTATAAATTAATCTATTATTTATTCCGGTCAACCGCTCGTGTCCAGTAATGACAAAGATAGCTACAACTTAATTTTTTAGAATTACTTCAGTATAAAAGAGAAGCATCTTTAGGGTAGCATGTTAACCCCACCTACCTGAATAAGTGTACCTTTACAGACGTCCAATCATCTATAGCGACATTAGTGTTACAAAATGATAAAATAAGTTCAAATATCGTTTAAGGTGGGATGCATGTGACCTGACTAGTATAAACTGCCATTGATAGTAGTTAAAACAGTGACTGTGATGTACATTTTTAAGACACGTTCATTGATAGTAGTTAAAACAGTGACTACGATGCACATTTTTAAGACACGTTCATTGATAGTAGTTAAAACAGTGACTATGATGCACATTTTTAAGACACGTTCATTGATAGTAGTTAAAACAGTGACTATGATGCACATTTTTAAGACACGTTCATTGATAGTAGTTAAAACAGTGACTATGATGCACATTTTTAAGACACGTTCAATGATAGTAGTTAAAACAGTAACTGTGATGCACATTTTCAAGACACGTTTAATTTCTATTAAATATGAAAATCGTCACCACGTGAAATCTACTTTCAATGTGAATTCATATTAGAAAGAGATCACGTGCGTTTCTACTTACGCAATATTTAAATACTTTTTTTCCCTCTTATGAATAATGTGAGACTAATGGTTTCGCAGACATTCTACGCGTGATTTATGTTCAGATCTCAACAGAACTCTGCGTGAAATTGATGTGAGAATAATGGTTTCGCAGACATTCTACACATGATTTATGTTCAGATCTCAACAGAACTCTGCGTGAAATTGTTAGTCACCACTGTCACTATACGTGATTTATGTTCAGATCTCAACAGAACTCTGCGTGAAATTGTTAGTCACCACTGTCACTTTTTATAAATTAAATTTCATGGAAGATTCGTATTGCCGTGTTTCTGACGCTGCAATGCGTTAATTAAAAGCACTGTATTTATCTTTGTCACGTGCCCTGCAGAGACAAAATTATATCTTGTTAGTCTCCATCTTTTTATATACATGTTTGTTTTTTTCATTCAACAGTAATTCAAAAGCAACAAAAGCGATTTAAATTGATTCAAGAATCCATCCAGGATGTGACGTCAAGCAGCGTTATAAACAAAATATTATTGAACGTAAGTTCATGATATGCAACGGAGAAGTTTTGTATTACTCATTAAATTATTTCAAACGAACTTTGTAATTTAACTTATATGTGAGTTTTATTTCCACAAAGATGGCAGCATGTGTGACGGTGAGAAAAGACAAGTTCGTAATATAAAAGTACAAAAAATATATATTATAATTATGACAAGCTGCTACGTGGGGATCACGTAACAAAAACAAACAGAAATAGTAAAATAAATTTCACTCAGAGTTAATAAGTCGAAAGTTAATCTCTCTAGGCTTTTGCATATAATTTACTATAGACTTATAGCCACACACACTTATAGAATGAAGTCCCACTATAAATATAACACTCAACTGAAAAATTGGGGGGGGGGGTGAACAGCTTTTAATAAAATATTCAGTAATAAAAGATATATTTGCGATTGGTTAGATATTATATGACAATATATTAATGACTAGATATTGTATAACAAGATACCAATGACTAGATATTATATGAATAGTTATATATAGCACGTGATTCGAACTCTTCCTATGATCAACATAGTGTCGCATAGGCAAATATGATCGCCAACAACGCCACCTAAGGATTGAAAACAGCTGAGATAAGTCCAAGAAAATAATAAGTCATAGACACGATTTGAAAATGTAGGCAAGAAATAGCAAAATATTTTTTTGTAAATATTAGATAATAGAAGTGTCTTCATTGTAAGAAAAAGAAAATACTGTTGAAATTTGTACTTCGTGTGCTACCTAGAAACAAAATATTAACAAAATCTTTACAGTTTCAGATCCTGTGAAACAATAATTTTATCCATCTTCTAGTACAATAATTTCTCCTGTTTTGTTTCTATAACTATTCGGTAGAATTGTTTGGCTTGCAATGATAGTTAAGTAATCTTAAATCCAGTTCTTATAAATATGCCCGAAGTATCGCAAATCAGAAGATCTATAAGACTTTCACAAGATACGTTTTTTAAATGTGTACAAAAAACAAACATTGGTGTCGCTAATTCTACTGGTCTTCGCTCTAATCTTCCTCTAAATACCTATCTCTCATCAGCTTTAACGATGAAATTAAAACAACACGAGGATTACATTAACTGAATATTTAATCATGTCATATGAAAGTTTGTTTTGTTTGTTTGTAATTAAGCACAAAGCTACACAAAGGGCTATCTGTGCTCTGCCCACCACTGGTATCGAAACCCGGATTCTAGTGTTGTAAGTCCGCTGTACCACTGGGGACTTATATGAAAGTACCTAGGTTTTCTATCGACCACCTGTTAGAGATTTAGATGGGGGAGTGGCTATTGTAAAACATTTACTGTGTTCTCTTGTTATTTTTTTTACTTAGGTAGTTGTTGATATTGTGATGTTCATCTAACTCTATGTGTATATTAACCTAAGAAGAACTGTTAATTATACAAGAAGTAGAAAGATAGTACTTTGTGATACTTGGCCTAAAAACAAATCTTCTGGACGGTGTACGCGTCACATGGAAGAAAGAGATGGTTGATACGTGACACTAACGTAGAAGGCAGTGTAGTTTACAGTGCGTTCTGTAACACAGCGCTAACCAATCGAAATTGTGCCATGAAACTAAAGTGCTAATAATTGCACGTATTCTATTGTTTCATTTTTATCTTTGGCGCAAAGTATGCGTTTCAATATGCCTAAGTTTACGAGTAGCAGGTCATTTCTTCTGAATATGTTCAGTTGAATAAGTGTCATTACCAAACTCTATCATTACTCTGTTACTCTTGGGTATACTTATTTCAAAAGTCCAAGCTTAAGTCATTTTTGTCTTCATCAATGTATTACGATTAAGGAAGTGTTCCACAGTTAACACGTGAAAGATGGCTGAGAGGAGGGGGTTACAGAAAAGTAATCACGTGGAAAGCAGAAAGCTCAGTGGAGGTTGCAACATCAAGGATTGCCTAGGAACATCGTTGTGGAGACGTCAATCGGATCTTGTTGCCGGTTGCCACTAGCAACGATCTTCGTATTTACATAACCTGACAATTTAAATTTTAATGTATAATTTGGAGATGTAGCCTTGGAAAAACAAGATTAAGTTTTTCTTACTTTACTTCTCACACAGATTTTAATTGATATCGAGATGTTTACAAACGTTAGGTGTGAATTTTTGAAGTAGCGAATGAGTAAATACGTTTTCTAAATAAACATCTTCCATTTTTTAAACTTCCTTTTTTGAATGATACTAAATGATACTTGTTTGTTTGGAGCTAAGCACAAAGTGACACGAAGGGCTACCTGTGCTGTACCCACCACGGGTATCGAAACCCGGTTTCTAGGTTTGTAAGTCCGCAGACATACTTCTGAGCCACTGGGTGGAGGGACATCTCAATGATTCAAAGCAAAATAATATTCTCCGTTTAGACTGTGATGTGCTGAAACTATATTTTGCTTATTACATATTAAGTTCACTTTTTCCGTTGGTTTATTATTAAGGAGGAAAGATACATTTCAGGTGTATTGTCGTTAGTATACTTAAATGTCCATGTTTTATAGAGTCGGACGCTCTAATTATGTATGTGGAAATGCTAAAATATTTTATAATATATATTGTTGTTGTTTTTTAAATCAAGTCTTCATATATAGGCCTATAGACATAGAAAAGTTAGAGAATGGAACACGTGTTGCTTCTGGTCGACTTTTCGCCCGGTGGGCGAATATTAAAGCAGCAGTTAAGATCTGCTTCATTAGTAAGCAGGGGAATGCTTCCTCGCCCGTGGTTCTTAATCTGACTATCCTGATACATAAGAGGGTAGGCAATGTGACTAGCATGTCTGTGGTGATGTCCACTGTTGTTTATTGCATGACAATGGTGATGACAAGTACAGTGGGGATGTAACATCCTCCCATTAGTGGCCGGATAAACGGGCTCTTTATCCCAGGCCTGTTTCGTTTCAACAACTCTATTGGCAAATCGTACTTTGTTAAATCGTTGCTGATTGGCCGGATAGGAATGGTGGTGGTTTGAAACAGATAGCAACACTGGTCCCGTAGTAGAGGGTGCTACTTTTGTTCCTCCTCCATGCTTGAAATTTGACGATAGTGTCGTCGCATCCGAAGTTTCGATTACAGGTGTATTATCGTTATTAGAGACGGACTGGGAAGTAGAGGGTGCTACTTTTGTTCCTCCTCCATGCTTGAAATTTGAAGGTAGTGTCGTCGCATCCGAAGTTTCGACTACAGGTGTATTATCGTTATTAGAGACGGACTGGGAGAGTGGCGAAGGAGACAGTCTAACAACTTCGTCTAGAGAAACTGGAGAGTATAAAGAACGATTGTCGTCCTGACCTGGCTTCGTAGCTTTGGTCCCAGTGTGGAGTTCGCTCTGGAAAACTTTGGGCTGTTCTCTTACCGGTCGTTTTGCACCTTTTCTTCCATGAAGCCAGTAAGTCTTCATCTCTCCCTTTCCCTGTAATACATTACATGTTAATCTGTATTACAAATAAAGAAGATTAACGTGTAGATGTTAATCTGTATTACAAATAATGAAGATTAACGTGTAGATGTTAATCTGTATTACAAATAAAGAAGATTAACGTGTAGATGTTAATCTGTATTACAAATAAAGAAGATTTAACGTGTAGATGTTAATCTGTGTTACAAATAAAGAAGATTAACGTGTAGGTGTTAATCTGTATTACAAATAAAGATGATTTAACGTGTAGATGTTAATTTATATTACAAATAAAGATGATTTAACGTGTAGATGTTAATTTGTATTACAAATAAAGAAGATTAACGTGTAGATGTTAATCTGCATTACAAATAAAGAAGATTAACGTGTAAATTAAAGTAAGAACATGAAAAAGACACCACGGGCTTGTATTGAATAATGTTTTGACCTAAATCGATGTTATTCTATTCATGTTTATTTTATTGGGATCTAGAAAAAGTCTGAATAAAACACATATACTTACATTAGGATTTTACAAATTTATATATATATATATATATATATAT